CAATACCAATAACCTCATACTAATAATTCCAATAATCGCCCCATTCTAACGGCACTAGCCCTTCACTAGCCACTAAGCTCCAGCGGCCTCTGCTGTCAGTTCCAGCACTGGTGACAAGCCCAAGAGGAAAACTTCCCCCTTACACTATCCAGCACACTTAACAGAAGCAGCGCAGGCCTTTTCCATGTCATACTTTTATTTTACTCTCGCGTTCACATCATGCCTGAGAAGCAATTATTTGAGGAAAGCAGTAAATGAATTTCATTTCACGCCCCAACTTAATTCTTTGCTGAATATTTGAACACAACCAAATAATTAGCCCCCCTACTTTTCAATTAACTTTAATACCTTTGTTTCAATGCACTGTAAATGCACTTCTGGTGACGCTAAACAGGAAAACTGCAGAAGTTGTTATTCTCTATGGACCACAGCAGAGGCCTAACCGAGGACAGCGGCTCAGCCTGGTGACAACTGCAACAGAGCTGCAGCAGAGTTGGACAGAATTTCAAGTAATGAAATGTATGAATAGAGAAATGTAAGAGTTTCCTCACCTGTTAACTCTTGACTCCTAATTTTGAAGCCACAAGCTCAAATTATTCCCTCCTGAACAACCCATTTTTTCACCCGCATCTGAAGGAGCAGGTGGCATTTACCCAAACGGAGACATTAGCATTAAGAGAAACAAGCTCAATCCCGCACCCAGCACGCGACATTGCACCAGCCTCAGGCTGACAGGGGTGACACGACACGTTGCACGTTACAGACATTCGCTTGAGTGGGAATCAAGGCATGAATGATCAGACACGACTTTTCTCCACCTAAGCAGAAGCCTTCTTCATGTTTTTCTCAGCAAACCATTTGTCACTCTCGTCTGCAGCCATGGCCTGCGGAAAGAAAAACGTTCATATTTGGATGAGGAGCCGACCCAGGCAAACATCTGGCTGCAGATGTTCACCGGCCCACACCACAAACACGGGCAGCATCCCTGTGATCAACCCAGTTCTGAAGCAAGCTGTCCGGCTGAAGAAAACTCCTGGCTCTGCCAGTGCCCCTCTGTGTTGTGAGCTGACAAATTATTGTCCACACCAAAACTTGCACCAATTTGTTTTTGACACATCCACCAAGACACAACCATCTGGCTGCCCTGTTGGCTGGAAAACTCCAGCCAGGACAGAGAAGTGAACTTTAAAAATTGATTTGCTTTCCCCAGCACAAAAACAGACTGAGATAAACATGATTTGCTTCTTTGAAAAACTCCATTTGAGACTATAGAGGAAAAATTGGAATTGGAAAAAAAATCTATTAGTTGTCTAACTAATCAGACAAAAACTAATACACAGACAGTGTTACTTACATCATCCAACAATTTGTCACCGTTAGGATCCACCTTGGACAGATCTCGAAATGCTTCATCTCCAACAAAGCAGATTTCATGGCCATCCTAAAGCAAATTCAACAGCAGAGTAAGTTAGATGGCTCAGAGAGAGAAATTTAAGTCCAATCAGTCAGTACTGCCAGTATTACTCACAGGATCTGCCAAAATAATCACTTGTACTGTGGCTTTGCCAGGTGTGTCCAAGCTAACCAGAGGTGTTAAAATTTTCTGATTCTCCTTTTTCATCAGTGCTTCAATGTTTGGCAACTGAAAGAGAAATGAGATCAACCCTAGTGAGATGCAGATCAGACGCATTCAGGTTGTTCCTATTTACAGTTTCCTGCTGGCCCGTTTTTCCATTGAATACTCACTGCAAAAGACATCTGTTCAGTTTTACTTTGTTTACCTCTCAGATATTTCGTTAATGCTAGAAATAAACATTCTAGCAGCCAGGTGGCCAAATGAGAGGGGTAGAGGAGAAGGAAGCTCTACCTCCTCCTTGGCGCAGGAAAAGGCAATGCGCCCAAATGCTGTCCCGTGATCCACCGCTCCTCCGACCTGCTTCAACTCCAGCTTACACTGAAAAAGAAGAACAGTCCGACTCGTGAGGACACGTTCTCAGGGCTACACTCACTCCAGTTTTCACAATGCTGATAATTTCAACATCACCCACACGCACATTTACCAATGAGTTAGCACTACCACGGTTAAAGGAAGTTAAGGGCATGCAAGGAAGTTAAGGGCAGGCAAGCATCCACATACAACAACAACCCAAAGCAGGAAGGACTGAGAATTTTTCACAGTTCTAGTCTTTCCTTGGAAAATATTGAACAAATAGGCTCACAAATATGTTCACACAAACATCTCAGTGAAACTGTTAACTTATAACACTGATTTTTATTTGCATGAACGTTCTGGGCAGTAACTCACAGAATACAAAATTCTTTTAACAAAATATTTAAAATGCAAACCCAGGAGCATTAACACATCTGAGAATCTCTTCCCTTGCAAAATGTAAAATATAAGATAGAAGCGGGATGCACCAATAAAAACTAATATTGAGAATAACAGAGAAACACTTCCTTTTATCAAGAGTTTTTTTCCTTTAAGATTTTGTTCCCATGAATAAGAAGTTTCTATCATGAAAGGCAGCACTTCCAGATCAGAATTGGAAAGTTTTCTTTGAGACTAACCTGGTTATCTGCATAGCCCAGCAAAATTCTTTGCTTTTCCTCATCCTTCTCATATATTTTCATCCCAAGCAAATTAGACCAGTAATTAATAGAGTTCTGCAGATCAGAGACGCCCAAAGTTACTTTTAGCACAGGATCTATAAGATTGCAGTAATTTCATATTAGTTACAATTGCAATAATTTCATATTAGTTACAATTTTTTAACATGTTGTTTTACATTTTTGAGAAGAATATAAAAGCAACAAGGAAACAAAACAGTAACATGCTCCTGTTTCATAAATTGTCACAAACCAAATGCACAGCCAATACTAGTATTCCAGCTGCAGACCTCTTTAAAGCACAAGTAAGAGCAAGCTGAAAGTAAAACTCCATTTATTTTACCTTGCTTTAGTTGTTCCTTGTCTTCCAGGTAGAACTTGTATCCTCCCGGGGCTTCAGTTTCAAATATACCAGAGGCCACTTCACTGAGGGGCCACCCCAGCCTCCTTGCGTTGCTTACAGCGTGGCTGGACACCAGCGTTATGCCCTGGCAAGAACAGAAAAGATCTGTACAAAATACGTGCTGCAAAGATGGCCCAGGAGCCTCTCTTGGCCAGCCTGCACTATCAGTCTCTCCAGTTTACATGCATCACCACGGAAATCTCCATCTTCCTCTCCCTCGTCCAGGCCACAGGAGCCACCATCGTTGCTCCAAACTGGGATCGGGATCAAGATCTGAGCCCCGGCCAGGGTGGATGGAGGGCAGGTCCTGCCTTGTTAAACAACCTGCCTCTATTTATGAGGATTAAGCAAACTCCTGGCTGTTCTATCACAGTTGGCAGACATTCACAGCACTCTGTCAGCTCCTTGACACCTCTCAAAGTAGGGAAAGAAAACGAGACTATGGGAATATAAGATTACATAAAATCATAGAAAAAAAGTCATTAGATCCTCACTGCCTATCAGCTAATGAATACTGTTTCCTAGTCCAGACCTTGACCCCGGACGTAACTCTGGACCTTGACCCTGGACCTCAGTCCGGACATTGAGTTCGGACTTTGAGTCCAGACCTGACCATGAACCTTGACTCCAAACTGAACCTGCACCTGAACCCAGACCTTGATTCCGGACCTGACCATGGACCTTGACTCCAGACTTTGACACAAGAGCTGACTTCGGACATTAACCCCAAACCTGACTCCGAACCTGACTCCAGAACTGACCTCGGACCTTTACTCCAGACCTGACTCCGGGCCTTGACCCCAGACCTGACCCCGGACCTTGACTCCAGATCTGACTACAGACCTTGACTCTAGACCCTGACTCTGCACCTGACCCTGGACTTTGACTCTAAACCTGACGCCAGACCTTGACCCCGGACTTTGACTCCAGACTTGAGTCCGGACCTTGACCTTGGACCTTGACTCCAGATCAGACTCTGGACCTGACCCCAGACCCTGATCCCAGACCTTGACCACGGACCTTGATTCCGGACCTGACTCCCGACTTTGACCCCACACCTGAGCCCGGACCTTGACCCCGGACCTGACTCCAGACCTGAGCCCTTCTTGGTTTCTTAAGTGCACACAAAGCTGCTCTAGTGTCTGTTCTTCCAACTTGGACAGAATGACGCAAATAAATAAGGATCATTTTAAGCATGGCACTTACCAGAAAGTCATTGCCAAGTCGATACTCTCCAATTCCATAATTGTAAGTCAACTCTGCCACAAAGTGACTGTCTTCTGGTCCATAGCCCACCATTGTTTTACTCCATTTTCCGTCATAAGGCCTAAGACAACCAGAGTTTTGTGTAACAAATATTAGAAATAAACCTCAAAAACTGCAAGTGTTTGTGTCTGAAGATGAGAATCGCGTTTCTAGAATAGATTTAAGCTGCGGCTAAGCCAGCAAGCTCTCCATTAAACAGGAGCTGGGGCTTACAAGAACTTACAATATCGGGTAAAAGACTTTTTCCTATCAGTCACTCGCTCTGCTCTTAGGTTGACAACCACAGTTATCATAACTGATAAAAAAAAATCTTTACCCACTTCTTGCCCAAGCGCATATGAAGAGGACAAGGTGCTCCCTAGCTAAACTTATAGAGCAATTCCTTGTTACAAAGCAGGAAAACTAAGAAAGCTCCCCAACCTACCCATGGGACAACCGCGTAGGAACGGTTACAACCGCGGGGCGTCTTATGAAAACCCAGGGATTAGGGAAAGGGAACTGCAGTGCTTACCCATTGCAGGCGGCCTTGCAGCCTTCGTCAAACTCCTCATGTCTTAGAACCTGCAGAATTAAACATAGGGGGAAAATAATAACAGTAAAAAACAAACCAATTTTTCCCTTTATATATATATATATAT